TGCCGCTTGATGAGGATCGCGGCTTCCAGGCCATGGAGCAGCAGTTGAGAAAGCTAATGCGTGACCGTGGCCGAAACGCGGCTGCTATTTGTGCTTTACATGTCCCGATGCAGGATCGGGCGGACGAGCTTGGGCTTCAGATGCTGAAGGCTGAACGTCCAGTCTATCTCGAAAGAGAGTATGCTGGGGTTGAATTGGTGGATATTCCTCTTGACACGGACCCCAAATTTACGGGTTTGGAGGTGGAGCGTGCCATCTTGAAAGCGCAGCAAGGTGCGACGGGAAAAGTGGAAGTTGGAAACGTGGAGTGGCGACTGGGGGAGCGGGCCTTGGAGCTGGCGCGGGTGGTAGCGAAGGAAATGCCCGGTTTTCTGGATCGACAGCCAGGAGGTATCCCCCTTGAGGACCTGATGCTGGATGAAGATGCTGATTTTCAGGGCATGATGAAGCAGTCGCGCAAGCTAAGGCGAAAACCTGATGTGTGTGAGGGGAAGATTAAGGAACAAGAGAGGGCCTTGTCTGCATTTGTTGCGGAAATGGCAAAAACTGTAATTGCGGAGGATCTCAGTCAACTCAAGCCTGCGTATCGCGGCATCCCAGTTAAGGATCTTGACCTCCACGCCCACGAGGAATTTCGCACGCTGGCGACGAAGCTGCGTCGTCGTCGTCGGCGGCAAGGAAAAACGGACGCCACGGAGATAGTAATGCTCGAAGATGAAATTGACCGGTGTGTGTCTGAGATTGTTGACGACGTTATTGCCAATGAGCGTGCTTTCCTCAATCCTGAGCCAGAAGGGATGGACATCAACGACGTCCCTATCGATAATGACATCACTTTTTCTGCACTCGAGTCGGAACGCCGGCAACGCATGAAGGACCCGGTGGCCCAGAAGAGGAACAAGGAAATTATTTGGGAGCTGGAGGACAGCATGAACAACCGTGCCGCCGCGATCGCGCTGGAAGAGTTTGCTAAGATGCGTGTCTTTATGGATCAGGAGCCAGAGGGTGTTGCGCTGTATGATATCGGCCTTGACGTTGACCCAGACTTCAGAAAAGCTGAGGTGGCACGTTACAAGCTGCTAAAAGATCCGCAGTACTCACCGAAGAAACTGGAGGTGCTGGAGGCGGCCATGAACGACCGCGCACATGAGCTTGCCAGGGCCGTCCTCGCAAAGGACCGTCAGTTCCTCGACCCTGAACCGGAGGGCGTACCGCTGGAAGAATTGCCGCTTAATACAGACCAAGAGTTCAACGAGCTTGCGGTTAAACGTCGTCAACTGAAGAAGGCAATGGCGAAGGGCAAAAATCTGGAGGCGCTTCATGCGGTGGAGCAGCTTATGATTGGTCGTGTGAAAGATATGGCAAAAGCATTCCTCAATGAGAACCGCCAGTTCTTGAATCCCGAGCCAGAGGGGGTGCCGCTGGAAGATCTGCCGCTGAACGCCGATGCGACATTCCGAAAAAAGGAGAAGGAACGTTTGGAGGTTCTCAAGGCCTCTGCCAGTGACCCAGAACATGTCCGCGAGCTGGAGGATGGCCTGCAACTCCGCGCATGCGAGATCGCAAAGGCAATGCTTGGGAGGGAGCGGGCCTTTCTTGAGCTGAGGCCCTTCGGAGTACCGTTGGAAGATCTGCCACTCAATGCTGACGAGAAGCTCAGAACTCTAGAGAGGAAGCGGCGGTTTCTGCGGAATTCTAGTCTTCAGCCAGTGGAAGCGATTCGCGCGTGCGAGGACGCCATCGCGGACCGAGTTAACAGTATTTCAAAGCAGTTCCTTGATGATGAACGTGCATTCCTTGATCCTGAGCCCGAGGGTGTTTCACTGCGGTACCTTCCGCTCAATACTGACAAGAACTTCCATGAGATGGAGATCAAACGGCGCAAGCTGCGCCGAGCTCCACTCACAGGAAGTGAGGAATCCGCTATAAGAAAGCTGGAAAAAAAGATGAATTCTCGCGTGCACGCGATGGCGAAAGAAATGGTGGCGAAAATTCGCTCAGTCCTTGACCCGGAGCCGCTCGGCGTGCCGCTTGCCGACATTCCACTGAACGCTGATGAGGAATTCCATCGTATTGAAGAGCTCATCCGTGAGCTGAAGCAGGAGCCGCGGGAAAATGATCTGGCAATAAAAAAGCTGCAGTCACAGTTGAAGGAGCGTGCCGTGGAATTGGCTGGGAAGCTGCTGGATGAAGAACGCTCGTCTTTTGACCCAGAGCCGTTCGGTATTCCATTAAGGGAGCTCCCACTGAACACGGATAGACCGCTACGCGAACTTGAGCGTTTAAGTCGGAGGAAACGCATGGCGTTTCTTGATAATAGCGCTGAGAAGAAGAATGTAGAGGCGCGCATTTTTGAGATCGCACGCAATGAACTTGTTGGCGATCGCGATTTTCTCCAAGCAAATCCTTGGGGAATTTCCATTGAGGATTTGCCCCTTGACACGGACAACGCCTTCCATAACCTGGAGCTGGAGCGGTGGGCGTTGAAGAAAAACCCGGGGAGCAACCCCGGTGCCATTTCCGATATTGAGGACTTGTTGAACGATCGCGCATTTCAGTTGGCAGTGGATTGCATTCAGAAGGAGCGTGCGTTCCTTGAACAAGCGCCGGAAGGGGTTCCTTTGGATCAGTTACCGCTTGAAACCGACGGCGTGTTCCAATGCCTGGAGCAGGAGCGGCGACGACTGCTGCGTAACCCGGAGGCGCACGCTGAGAAAATTGCGACCCTGGAACAGAAGCTCAATGAGCGTGTGCACCTCCTTGCACTTGAATACCGTGGCTGGCAGGATCCTGAGTTCCACGAGGCCAACAAGCACGTCGCCGAGGAGTGGCCGCGCATATGCGAGCTGTATCCTGAAGGCCGTTATGTGCCCCTGGAGCCGGAGAGGATCTCCTTGGGCGACGTGGCATCGGGTCCTGTCAACGCCAGCTTCTTGGCACCTTTCATCGCCGCTCTGGGGCGCTTCCCTCCGCTGGTGCAGCAACTCATCGACACCAAGAAGCACCCCGTGAACGCGCCGTATTCTTTCATTTTCTTCGACCCCAACAGTAACCCGGTGCGTGTCGACATTGATGACCGTGTTCCTTGCGACGCGAACATGGAGCCGAAGTTTACGCAGGTGCCGCATCGCTCGTGGTACCCGCTGCTGCTTGAAAAGGCGTACGCCAAGTTTGTCGGAGGTTACGCCAGGCTGGATCAATGCACGCCCCATGAGACCCTGCGGGATCTGACGGGCCGGCCGGTGTCTCACCTTCCTTTGGAAGACAAACGTTCTGAAGGAATAAAGATGGGAGACTTCAGGGCGGC